TTTTTTTTTTTTTTTGGTACCGGAGATCAAACTCGGGTCCTTGTGCTTGCGCAGCAGGTGGTGAAACCACTGAGCTAAATCCCAGGCCCTCAAAGAGTGTATTTTAATGCTACAAAACCCAAAATGATTTGATAATGTATTGAATATGGTGTCATTGGCATGTGGATGGCCTTACACCTTGCTCATCATTTTGGAAGTCATGTTCTAACTTCATAATCAGAGCACAAAACAGACACTGGCAACAAAGGGGATATTCTTGCTAGGCATGAAGGATGCTGAAAGGATGTGCCTTGGAAAGGGAAGGGAAGGGATGGTAAGAGGCAAGCACAGCAAGGCAGGGCATCACGTCAGGTAAGAAACCCTCCACCCCCATCACCTCGAGAAATCCCAGCTCATCCAAGAAACTTCTTATATATGTAATGATCTTAGAGCGGATGATAAATTTCTGCCTCACAAAGTCATTGAGTATCAGGTCCAAGTATCTCTGTCGATACCGGGTTTCCTAAACCAACAGCAGCAGTTAGAAATCATTGGTTTGATGCAACAGTACAATAAAATGAACAGAATGCACCTTTGTGCCACAGGTCGAAGAATGAGAGCTCACCTTGTCTTTGAGGCCGAAGTGCAGATGAGGTAACATATGCAGGCAGGGAGACAACAGTGTGATCTCATAGGGAATGATGCTTAGCTCACCCTTCTTGGTTTTCCCAGGATTCCCATGAACGCCGATTATGTCTCCCCGACGCAGTTTGTTGTTGATACAAATAAATTCTTCCTCTGATTTGTAATTCCTGAGTGAAAGGAAATGTAATTCAGTAAACAACAGCACACATTAATACCGAACATTAGTTTACTCTGGAACCTTCACTCAAACAGCTACTATCTAGTCAATATGAGGCCAAGAAGAGTTAATGATTCAGAGACAGCTGTTAAAAAGGATTATCTTGTATTTTTACCGGCATACAACGTGAGGGCAGTCATTACTTTCCAGATGAGCAGATCATATTTTTATCTTCTTTTCAACCTTTCCCAACCACGTCCACCTCTTTATTACTCTCACTTCAAATAATAATGGTAAACTATACTACATCAGCCTCGGTCTGCAGCCGTGCTGCCCTAGGTCAGCAGAGAAGACCTGTAACGGGGTATTCCTGCGTACCTGGAATTGGCCATGACTTGCAACTTGACTCCCTCTCCTCGAAGGTCATAGAAGATGAGCTTCCCCCCAGAAGCTCTTTTGGCATGGATTCTACCTGGAGAACGAAGAGCAAAAATAATGACTGATCAGTTCCAAAAAAGATACCTCTGCCATACAAACTAGAAAAATGTGGATTGTGGCCTGGGGTCTAATCCCTGTCTTTTTTTTAATGCCAATGATTGTCATTATCATAGCAGTCCGGAAGCTGAGGCAGGAGGATCTCTACAAGTTCAAGGCCAGCCTGCACTACATAGTAAGACTGTTTCAAAAAAACCCCAAAACTTCCAAATATAAGCAATGGGGCAAACCACCAAGGCTTCAATGTGGGAAAACAGCAGTGAGAAGAAATGGGCCATCTGATGGATATGAGAACAGACATAAATAACCAAAGATAGTCACAGAAAATGTGCATTTTCCTCCAGGATACCCAGAGGACAGCAGCAGAAACTGGGAGAGGCTGTGTCTATTTCTACACCAGTAAGGATGCACTATGAAAGCTTAAAGGCGATGGACTAGTACAGTCCAGAGTATTTCTCTAAACTTAGCAACCAAACTTAACTAACTTAGCCTCATCCTCTTCTAGGACAAGGAAACACAAACAAAGGAAAGAGGAAGACCAATAAAAGTGAGGAAGAGGAAGAGCCAGAAAATGCCAGAAAACCAGCTGCTGTATTTCTGAATACCTCACAAAAACAACAAAGAGGCAGCATAGTGAAGCTGAAAAATTATCTAAACCAAGATCTTTTTTAACATTCAAGAAAATTAATTTCAAGTAAAATTTAAGCAACATAAGGGAATTCAGGTCAAATGCTATTCAAAATTACTAGAAAACCAAGTGTGGTGGTGCAGGTCTGTAATTTCAGCACTTCAGGCTGAGGCAAAAGGACTGTGGGTTCAAAGCCAGCCTAGGCTAGGGGCTGGGGATGTAGCTCAGTGGCACTATGGCTGTCTCATAAGTGCAAAGTCCTGAGTTCAATCCTCAGTACAGGGGGGAAAAAAAAGAAAAGAAAAGAAAAGAAAAAAAAGCCAGCCTAGGCTAAGAGTAAGACCCTGTTTGTGGGGAGGGGAGGCAGATAGAAAATAGAGTGTACTATCCTCCAGACACAACGAAGCGCTCAAAAAATCATTACGGAAATTAAGACTAAACTAGAACAAAGTGAGTAAGTACAACAAATAGTACCTTAAGAGACACAGAAAGTGAAAAGGAAGATAAAATTTAAAAAGCAAAGTATAAAAAAAGGTAAAATAAGGATTCAAGAGAAAGTGATAATCATGAAAAGAACTGAAGCTGATCCAACATATGAATAAAAGTACAAAAAGAAATCCAAAGTAAGAAAGAAAGCATAATACAAAAAATTAGTTGGTGCACTGGTGCATGCCTGTAATACCAGCAACTTGAGAGGCTGAGCGGGAGGTCCTAAGTTTGAGGCCAGCCTGGGCAATTTGGTGAGACCATGTCTCAAAATAAAAGGGGCTAGGGCTGGGGATTTAGCTCAGTGGTTCCACCGCCTGCCTTGCAAGCGCAAGGTCCCGAGTTCGATCCCCGGTACCAAAAAACAAAAAAACAAACAACAAAGGGGCGTGGGGCTGGAGGTACAGCTCAGTGGTAAAAGTGCTCCTGGGTTAAATCCCTAGTGACACACATGCGCGCGCGCGCGCACACACACACACACACACACACACACACACAGAGGAACATTTCCTAAAAAAGAAAAACATGTAAAAAAGACAAGATTTAAAGGCACATCTCTGAGAATATTGAGCCAGAATGACTTAACATGAAGACATATTTTAGTAAAATTACTCAGCTTAACGAAATTTTGAGGACATTTAGGTGTTGGTAGGGGTTCTCCCTGGATAGTAGAATGAGTCCTTAAAATTTTTTTCTCCTTGCTTCTTTGAGTGTCCTTAATTTCTACAACTAAATAGTTTTACTATGTGGGGAAAGGGGGGAAAGAAAAAGAGAAGATTAATTTTTTTAAATTAAGTAAAAGAAGATCCCACACAAGATACTCTAACCCTAAAACAACAATATTCTAGAAATACAGTCTCAGTGCAAAGGATTTTCAGGCCAAAGACTGGAATTATAAGGAGCCTGAGCCCATGGTTCCTACAGATGAAAGGAAGTCCTTAGAAAAAGACTATGAAGTAGCAGCAGCAGCAGGCCAGGAGTTCCTCAGAAAATGACCCTTTCTCAGTAGCATCCCCTCATCTGGAATGTGACCCATACCTCAGGGCTGCTCTACTTTTTTCTGTGAATAGACAAAATGGTACTGACTCAAGTTAAGTAGCTGCAAACACAGCCTACCTGAGAGCAAAGCCAACCCAGGCCCTCCTTTGTGTTACTGATGAGACCTGCCCATGGTGGCCTGCAGTGGGAGCTCAGTGAACAGCCAGGGAACTGTCCTACCTGCCACCTTTAAGGTGATGTCGGTCAGGTGGTCCCCAGGCTGCAGGTGACTGTATTCTTGGATGAACTGGGTGAGTGAGATGTCTACGTGGAACTTGTGTGGGTATGGATCCTCCCCACTGACCTTCAGCTGGTGGACTGCTTGACTTCGGATCTTGTAGTATTGCTGTTAAAGGAAACAGAGCATGACAGAGTGAGAGACAGAGACAGTCTCTCTCTCTCTCTCTCTCTCTCTCTCTCTCACACACACACACACACACACACACACACACACACACACACACACACACACAGATACCTTGAGAACAGGTCAGACCAGTGGCCCATTTATTAGAGTATTGGATCCTGCCTCAAAGTGGCCCCAATACTGTACACTGAGGTTTTCTCTAACTTTCCACAGCCTTAAAACCTTAGGATTAAATATGGAATGAGATTTGCAGGGCTGCTTAAAATATTCTGGGTTGCTAGATCCACTGCTGAAAATGAAGAATTCCAGAATTCCAAAATGCAAGATTTAACAAAAAGAAAAAATAGGGTTCTACCTAAAATAATAAAGAGTTTAACTGGTACAGGTGGCCTTGCTTACCACTTTTGTGGACCACACCTGCATGGGGAGTTACTTATTTTCTAACTCCTCTCCTACCCTTGGTCACACATTAGATCTTTCCCCAAGACAAACCCTGGATGATAGAAATATGGAATGCCCTTCTGCAGGGGTCAACAAACTTTCTGACGTAACTTCTCAACTCTGCAGCTTAAATGGGAAAGCAGCCTTAGATATACATAAATATACGGTCAAGGCTGTGTTTTGTACAATTTTATGTATAAAACCAGGGAGGGAAGAGTGAAGTGGGGGAGTGGAGAAGAGGATCTGGCCTGCGGAAGGGAGATATTCCGTCAACTCATGTAAAACCCTATCCATCTTTAGGGATGGACCTCCCCCCTCCTCTCTTCCTTTAGTGGTGCTGGGGACTGAACCCAGGGCTTCCTGCATGCTAAGCAAGTGCTCTACCACTACACTACATCCCCAGCCCTAGGATGATACATTTTTCTGGGGCTGCTACAAGGCCCAGCTAGTTTCAAGGAAGATTAATTACTCACTAGGGAGTGCTGGACTCTCCCAATTACCTGTTTTGAGGTAACAGAAAAAGCTTAGGCCCTGTGCCTTTAGCCAGCTGAAATGGCAGCACCTTCACTGCCATCCACTGGCAGTGACCCAGGGCCCAGTGGCCGTTCCAGTCACTTTTATCTTCTTAGTCACTGGTTCCTGCTACTTCCCGGCCCCAAGGAAACCTGCCCTGAGCCTCTACGGAAGCTCTCCTGTGTCCAGGCACACAAGTGGCCCAGAGGACTCACGTTTGGGTCCAGGGTTTCTTCCTCGGTACCCACACCATTGTCAGTGGTGTGATTAGTGGCAGCTGCAGTAGGTTGGCTTAGTTGTTTCTCACTGAGCTCCTTCTGCTTGGCCTCCTTCTCTGCCACTTTCTTCTCGGCTTTAAGGCGTCTTTTTAGCTCACTGTTGGCAAAGAATTCAATGTGAAAGCTGCCTGAAGAGTCCTATATCTTCAAAACATGAACAGCCTGGGAAAATATTCTTGCTGAGTTCCCCATCCCTAATTTCTTTTTTTCTTTTGAGACAAAGTCTCATTATGGCTAGCCTTGAACTCACTATGTAGGCCAGGCTGGCCTTGAACTCAGGGCGATCCTCCTGCCTTAGCCTTCCTTAGTGCTGGGATTACGGGCTTGTGCCACCATGCCTGGATTCCCCAATTTCATAGCCTCTTAGTCACTAAACTCTATGTGTAGCGGGTAAGTAAAAAAAAAAAAATTAGCTTAGAACAAAGATGCAAAAGATCCTTTTAGTCTTTGCTTTCCAGTCTAGGCGTGCTATTAGGGACCAACTATAATGAAGATGCACCAGGACAAAGAAAAGCCTATATACTGTACTGGTTTATATTTAGAATAGGAAAAAATACTTCCTAGAAAATCAGCAGGATAGGCTTTGCCTGAAGTAAAGCACCTCACCTAGTCTATGAAGTTCCTTGGTGCCAGAAACTGCATCCCTCCAACAGAAGATGAAGCTCCTACAGCACCAGACCTAGTGTGATAAGGTAGCACTTGGTCTGCCTGCCACTCCCTGGATGGCCTTCCTGAGGAGCAAGTGAGGCTGGGGATGGGAGAGTGGGATCTTCAGAGCTCAAGAAGACATTCCACAGACAATCTCTCTAACCTTGGTGTCAGTATCAGTCTCACTTTTGCAACTGGAGCCTGTCTTCAGCACCCTAGATCACAACACTGTACATAGCAGAATAGTACAGGGGATATTATACCACCACCGCTGTCAGACTGCCTACGACTAAATTCTGACGACCAATTCTGCCTCCTTAGCCAAGTGACTAAACTTTTCATCTGAAAACGGAGATAAGACCTGCTCCCATCAGTTGTTTGAAAGAGATAAGTTTGTAAAGGGATGATTTTATCCATGGTATTTAGTTACTACTCAAATGTGAGCTATTCTAGGTATCCCTCATTATCTTAACCTTTCACTTTGTGCATCTAAGACAGAAACCACACAGATTCAGATATATTTCTGGTCAAATCTTTCATTATTCGATCTCTTGATACTTGTTACCTGACACTTAAAAAACCAAATTGATGTGGATGACTCAGTATCCTTTATGATCTGAACTTGCTATCTGAACTCAGAAACAAAAGACATTTGGGTAGACAGCGGAATATTCTCATTATTCAGAGAACTTATGGATCATTGTTTCAAACTGCTGGTGATAACTGAGTATTTGGCAATAATGAACCATGGCAAAAGATGTCATATGTGGGTATTATTTAGCCTTCAGGTACACCTTCCATTTCCTTCCTTTCGCTATTTAGTTTAGACTGGCCTTGAACTCACAGCAATCCTCCTGCCTTGGCTTCCCAAGCGCTGGGATTACAGTTGTGCACCACCATGCCCACCCCTCCATTTTCAATATGAGTTTAGAATTACTTTAAACAACTAATTGAGATTCAAATCCATCGTCCTTTCAGTAAGAAAAACTGATTCCAATGGCTTCAAAGCAGGTAACTCTTTCTAGATAAAATGTCTTGTAATAGTTAAGTTGCTTTTGAATCAAATGAATCCTAAGGATAGTCTCAGAAGGTCTGAAGGATACTGCTAAAACCAGAAATAAAGAGCAAAGACACCCCCAAAATGGCAGAAAAGGGAAAACAGATGGCATGAGAAATTCTTTTTTTTTTTTGGTACCGGGGATTGAATTCCTTGCACTTGCGCAGCAGGCGGCGAAACCACTGAGCTAAATCCCCGGTCCGAGAAATTCTTTATTCAAACTGGGCATGGTTATACCTGTCATCCCAGCATTCTCTTCAAGGCTGAGGCAGAAGGACTGTAAATTCAAGCCCTGACTGAAAATTTAGCAACTTAGAGAGAACTTGTCTCAAAATTAAAAAAAAAAGACAGAGATTTAGCTAAGTGTGAAGGCTCTGGGTTCAACCTCCAGTATCACCAAAAAAACCACAAAAACAAAACCAAAACAAAACCAAAACCAAAGGTTATTCTCTTAACACTATTCTGGAATAAAATCCAAGTCATTTTAAGACTCTAAGGAGAGAAGATTTGAATTTATAAAGAGAAAGTGAGAGGAACTATTGGTTTTGGTAGAACTCTGTGTTTTTTTTCTTTTGGTACCAGGGATTGAACTCTGGTCCTTGTGCTTGCTAGGCAGGCAGCGGAACCACTGAGCTAAATCCTCGGCCCCTGAACTCTGTGTTCTTAGCAACAAGTCCAAAGACTTTTCAGGGGCTTAACAGATACTGAATGAAAGAAGGAAAGTATTTTTGCTCCCAGAGCAATAAAGGTAATGGGCACCAACCTTCTTATATCAGAAAGTGCCTTGTCCTTGTGAAGCGCTGTGAAAGGAGCAAGTTGACCCAGTCGAAGTTCCCTTTGACCCCATTCTGCCCAGGTTTGGCGCAGGGACCCCCTAACAAGCCTTAGAGCAGCTAGCATCAGCATGGCAGAACACCCGGGAGCTAACGATTACCACGACCTAGCAGGAAACACAGAGACGGGTGTCAAATGGGACAGATAGTATATACCCACCCAACCTGTACTCTTTTGAGTTAGAGGAGGGGAGCTATGTTTGCACTGCCTTTTAGTGTCTTGTTTAAGTTACCAAACTGAACTCCTAGCAACCCTGTTAACACTGCTCTGTGACTGTACCTGACAAAATTCTTAGTCCTAGCTGTGGAAAGAAGGTGCACATCTGGGGTTAAAAAGTCAAATGCAGGGCCCGAGATTTAGCTCAGTGGTGCCACCACCTGCCTTGCAAGGGCAAGGACCTGAGTTTGATCTCTGGTACAAAAAAAAAAGTCAAAAGCAAGCTGGGTGTGATGGTGCATACCTGTAATCCCAGCACTCAGGAGGCTGAGGCAGGAGGATCGCTGCCAGTTTGCCAGTTCAAGGCCAGCCTAAACTACATAGAGAGACCCTGTCCCCCCCCCCCAAAGTCAAATGCAAGTCAATCAATAGTGTTACAGGTAGAAATGATGACAGCATTCTAGAATATGGTAGACAGAATGTGAGGCAGTGTTTCCAAAGCCCTAAGTATGATTTCTCTCTTGGAGATGAAGTAATGGGCCAGGAGATGACAATGTAAAACATATAACATAAAAGCAAAATGTTACTACCAAATGCAATTTCTAGGTAATGCTAGAAGAGCAAGGGCTTAAAGCTGTGTGTGATGGCAGGGCCCTATAGGTCAAGCTATTTGGGAGGCTGAGGCAGGAGGACTGCTTCAGGGTAGGAGTTTGAGACCAGGCTGGGTAATAAAGTGAGAACCTGTCTTAAAAAAAAAAACAAAAGAAAAAAAGAGAAAATGTAAGCCACATACCTCTGAGTCAAACACAAGCAAGACCTGTTTGGAGCTCTAAGAGCAAGGAGAAAAGGAATGGTCTCAGACCACTTTGTATTTATTAACAGTGGAAGACTACAGATTACAGGGATCACATTCTTCAAATAAATTTGAGGAAGATCTTTCATTTGAGAATGAGTCATTTGCTGATCTGGTTTCTTTCTTTCTTTTTTTTTTGGTACCGGGGATGGGACTTGGGACCTTGCACTTTCGAGGCAGGCAATGGAACCACTGAGCTAAATCCCCAGCACCCCCGCCCTTTTGAGACAAGGTCTCTCTATGTAGCCCAGGATGGCCTTGAACTCACAAGCAATCCAGCTGCCTCAGCCTCCCAAGTGCTGAGATTATAGGCTTGTGCCACCATACCAGCTTCATCTGGTTTCAAGCTTGGGGACAATTCCTGGCAGCACAAAATGGTGTTCATTAAAGACATCAGACCAATGAAATTCCAGGAACAATTAAGAAACAGAAGGAATGTTACTTTCATCTGGGCGTAGTGGCTAGTGGCCTGCCCTGCAATCCCAGCAATTGGAAGGCCGAGGCAAGAGGATCACTGCGAAGTTCAAGGGCAGCCTGAATTACATAGTGAGACCCTGTTTTAAAAAACCAATAAACAAAAACCTAAAAATAAAAGATATTCCCATTGGGTGTGGTGGCACACACCTGTAATTCCAGCACTTGGGAGGCTGAGGCAGGAATATCATCATGAATTCAAAGCAAGTCTGAATTTCATTCATAGCTGAGACTATCTCAAACCCACCCCCCCAAAAAGAGAAAAAAGGCGTTTTTGACGTTTACAGAGAACCCATAAGAGCTCTAAGATGATGGCCAACATATTTGGATGCTAGCAAAACATAAATTTAGATATTTCTCTTGTAACTTTTCTAAAATACACTAAGTATAAACCTAGAGACAAAAGGAAAAATCAACTCTTAACCACTGAGTGCCTATAGCAATTCCCTCAGGGTTCAGCAAGAGGATTAAGCCTTCATACATTAAAGCAGCATGACATGTAATGATGTAATTTCTCCTGTGCCTCTGGAGTGGTACTAATTATGTCTCATTCGGAGCACTGGGGAAATATTCAAGTCACTGTGCTCCGTGGTTCAAATGAGAAACGCCGTTTGAGAAGCAATGTAGTAGAGAAGAAATAGTAAAGGGAAACTAATCTTGATCTATGTTCGCCTATACACTTCCAAGGGTTTGGGGTGGTGGTTAACAAAGACAGGCACGGCTAAGGGCAGCCTGGGGTGCCCTGCTGAAAATGACAGTCTCCACTACAAGATAACGGACACTCGTTTCTCATAGATCCTTTGAACAATCCATATGGGTTGGTGCACGACACAGTTTTATAACTGATCCCCCTTCAAATCGTAAGGTTCATAATGACCCTGCTAAGGCCAGAGCAATCTTGAAGGTCTTTACGAAAAGCTATTTGGCTTTGCTTTAACCACCTCACTGGGGAGAGCTCCGTAATAAAGTAAGGCATCTCTCAGAGGGAGGGAGGGAGGGAGAGAGGGAAGAAGAAAGTTTCACTTTCCTTTCCTGTCAGCTCCCGGTCTAAGCTCTGGTTTCTCTCCTGCATTCTCCTACTGCAGCAGCAAGATGAGGGGGGGATCTCGCCAGCGACCCCCGGGACATCCCTGGGGATGCAGTTTCTCGGCTCGGTCACCACGTCTCAACATGTGCGCAACCCACCAGAGTAGGTAGAAAGGCCCCTGGCTTTGGCATGAGGCTCAAGGCACTTCCCAGCTTGGACTTTACAACCACAAAGGCTTAATGACCCAGAAAGACACTTACTTTTTGCTTAGTTTCGGTTCGTCGTCCACTTTCACCTCAGCCCCTTGCACCGTAGCCATCTTTCTCAGGGCCCGATCTGAAACCGACGAGGGCAGCACGGCCACTTCCAGGTTAAGGCCGAAGCACCACCTCTTCCGGGGCGGAGGGCGGGCATTCCTGGCGCGCAGGCGCAGTGCTGAGCTTCGCGGCGACCCAGTTTCTGTCAGAGCTGCTCTGTTTCTGGGGCTCGGCTAGGAAGCGCTCGACAGGGGGCGGCTGTTGTGGTGCCGGGCGTCAGGATGGCAGAGGCGTTGGATATGGGCAAAGACCCCAATGGGCCCACTCATTCCTCCACTCTGTTCGTGAGGGGAGACGGGAACCCTCTGTCGTTCTACGTGCGGCCCAGCCCGATCAAGCGCCGGCTGTCGACGCTGATCCTCCATGGCGGCGGCACCGTGTGCCGGGTGCAGGAGCCTGGGGCGGTGCTGCTGGCCCAGCCCGGGGAAGCGCTGGCCGAGGCCTCGGGAGACTTCATCTCCACACAGTACATCCTGGACTGCGTGGAGCGCAACGAGAGGCTGGAGCTGGAGGCCTATCGGCTGGGGGCGGCCTTGGCGGGGGTGCGGGCTCTGGAGACCAAGCCCGGGGCCTCGGGCGAGGGCGCCGCGGAGTCCGAGCCGCAGCCGCCCACCGGGCGGGTCGCCTTCACGGACGCGGACGACGTGGCCATTCTGACCTACGTGAAGGAACATGCCCGCTCGCCCAGCTCGGTCACGGGCAACGCTCTGTGGAAAGCGATGGAGAAGGGCGCGCTCACGCAGCACTCGTGGCAGTCCATGAAGGACCGCTACCTCAAGCACCTGCGGGGCCAGGAGCACAAGTACCTGCTGGGGGACGCGCCCGTGAGCCCCTCTTCGCAGAAGCTCAAGAGGAAGGCGGAGCAGGACCCGGAGGCTGCGGACAGCGGGGGTGAGGCCTGCGGGGCGGGGTCTCGCGGCGGGGGCGGGGCTGCCTTCTGTTGGGTCCCAAGTTCTCGGGGCTTCTGCTAGCATCGCTCGGCCCCTCCCACTTGTTGACCTTGGGATAAAATTGCACCACTTTACTTTTTTTAAAATTTTAAATTATTTATTTTTATCTCATTCCCCCCTCAAACCCCCTCCCCTCCCTGTGTACAAAGCTTTCTTTCCATTTTTTCCTTCTATTTTCACTTTTTTTCTTGTCCCTTCTTTCCTTTCTCCCTCCCTCCTCCCTTGTTCTCCTTCCCATTTGAACACTTTTTTCCCATTTCCCAACATCCATTATACATGGCAGATCTTATTTCCACTTTCGGTTTCTCACACCAGAGAAACAATGTGGTATTTAAACATGTGTGTCCCACTTATTTCACTTAAGCCTATGGTCTCAGGGTCCATCCATTTAGCTATAAATGTCTGAAGCTCGTATTTATTACAATGCCAACTTTTAAAAGCACACTAAAATTAATCTGATCAATAAACTAGGCAGAAATGGCTTTCCAAAGAGAGTAAGCTCAAAATCCATCTCTCGTTTTAATTTGCCTTCCCAGCTTTTGCTTTGGGGTTGGTTTGTTTTGTGATGTGGCCTCGTTATGTTGTGCAGGCTAGGCTCAAATGATCCTCCTGCCTCATCCTCCCTACAAGCACCCAGTAACTATGGTAGTTTTAACGACCCAATTCTATATTCAAAAGGTACAATATTCTATATACAATATATAAAAAATCTACCTCCCTTCCTTCCACCAGCTACCCAATTTTAACATGCTAGCTGGGCAGTGGTAAGTGCTATAGAGAAAAATAACTCAGGGTAAGGGATGGAGAGGAGATATTTTTCTGTAGGATGATAAGAGAAGGTCGCTGATAAATTGAGCTTGAGCAGAGACCAAAGGAAGTGAAACAGCAACCTGGCAGGATATCTAGGGAGGAGTACTTCAGGCCAAAGGTATAGTAAGGAAAAAGCCTTGACATGGGAGTATGGCTGGGTTCTTAGAGTCACAGAGAACACTGTGGCTGTAATACAGTAAGAAAGAGAACTATAGGGGCCGGGGATTTAGCTCAGTGGTTCCGGTGCCTGCCTCAAAAGCGCAAGGTCTCGAGTTCAATCCCCGGTACCAAAACAAAAGAAAGAGAACTATAGTAGATGAGGTCAGGGGTATGTATGTGGTGAAGCAGGTCATTATTTAGGATCTCGCTTTTATTTATTTATTTATTTATTTGGTACTGGGGATCGAATTTGGGTCCTTGCGCTTGCACAGCAGGCGGCAAAACCACTGAGCTAAATCCCTGGCCCCCAACTGTATTTTTTATTAGAGAAATTTTCCAACATTTATAAAAATAAAGTAACATATACTGCATGTATCCATCACCTAACTTCACCTGGGTATAGTTCATGGCCAGTTTTTCATCTACACACCTTGATCCTAATGGATTATTTTGAAGTAAATGCCATGTCCTTAACTGTTTTATCATATTTTATTTTATATTTTATATAACATATATTTGTGAATATATCAATATATATATTTTGTATTATTTTATCATGTATCATTTTAACTATTTTAACATGTATCTAAAAGATAAGGCTTATTTTTTAGTTACTATATTTAAACTTTATATACAGTAAAATTGAAACATATACAATTAAATGTGTTTTAAAAATTTCTGGTAAAGGGCGGGGATGTAGCTCAGTGGTGTGCCTCGCCTGCCTGGCAAGCACAAGGTCCTGAGTTCAATTCCCAGTACAAAAAAAATATATTTATGGTAAAAGATATGTAACAAAATTTAAAAGTTACTATTTTAACTGTTTAAATGTTCAGTTTGGTGGCATTAAATACATTTATATATGCAACCATTACTACCATACATGTCTAAAAGTTACTCATCTTCCAAAACTACTTATTAAACAGTAAATCCCCCTTCCTCTCCTCAGCCCCCTGGCAACTGCCATTTTACTCTGTCTTTTTTTTTGTTTTTTAGTCAGGGTCTCTTGTAGTTCATCCTAGCCTAGAACTCGCTCAATATGTAGTCTGGGCTAAGAGAGAGTAGTCTTGATCCTCCTGGTTTAGCCTCCTGAGTGCTGGGATTACAGGAGTGTACAAATATACTCAGCTCTTGTTCTGCTTTTTTATGAATTTGATTTCTAGGAATCATATATTTGTCGTTTTGTATCTGGTTATTTCACTTAGCCTTATGTCTTAAAGTTTCATCCATGTTGTAGCCTGTATCACAATTTTATTCTAATGAAAGGCTGAATAATATTCCATTATATGTATGTACTACATTTTGTTTATCCATCCATCACTGGACATTTTGGGTTGTTTCATCATTTGCCTATTGTGAATAATGCTCCTGTGAATATGGATATACTGATGTCTGTTTGGGACTGTTCTTTGAATTATAGGCATATGCTCAGAAGCACAATTGCTAGACATATAGTAATTTTATGTTGAATTTTTTGAAGGACTGTTTTCCAGTTTGTATGTGTTTTAACACATATAGATTTGTGTAATCACCACCAAAATCAGAATGCAGAACAATTCCCTCACATAAAAAACTTCCTGCTGTTCCTTTGTAGTAAATTTTAGTAATTAGAAAGGGAACAGAGTTAAATTCTCAGAGAACAGAAAGTAAAGGGAAAACAGGATGTTTAAATTTAGGAAGCCCTCGTTTTTATAGATATGCAGTGATTGTGGTACATCACTTAAGTCCACCTTCAGCTGGGAGATTTGCCCTGCCCAAAGTCCTATCTTCTTAGGACTGGTAGCATCCTGGGGATGGACCTATGTGAGTTATTAAGGTGGTGTTTCTTTACTCCAGCTCAGTCAACTCGGAAAGGCCTTTCTAGCTCCAAAATTCCCTGTGGCTTTAACTAAAGCTTCATTGAAATGGATTTTTTTTCTTTTAAAAATGTATTTATCTGGGCCGCGGCGTCGACGTCTATGGCCCAGGCGGTGCGCCCCTCCGTCAGGTTGTCACGGGGCAACCACCCAGAGCCGAGGGTGCGGCAGGTCGAGAAGCGTGGAGGCCTGGCTTGCAGCAATGGAGCAAGGCCCTGTAGTGGGTGGGCGGCGGCAGGAGCGGGAGCCGCTCGGGATACTCAGTTATGAAATGGGTACGCACCAAGCACATCCAGATGGCAGTGTCCTGCTACCTCAAGCGCCGGCAGTATGTGGATTCAGATGGCCCACTGAAGCAAGGCCTTCGGCTGTCTCAGACTCCTGAGGAGATAGCAGCCAACCTCACAGTCAGAATCTGGTTGTGCCAACATAGTGCCTGCAGCCCCTTGCCAGGCAGAACCCCAGCAATTCGAAGTACAGTTTGGACGACTGCAGAATTTTCTCACTGATTCTGGTTCCCAGTACAGCCGTGAAGTTATGACTGTCTACCCATTGTTTGTCTACCTCCATCTCAGCCTGGTCCAGAGCAGCCTGAAGAGTACAGTGGAAAGTTTCTATAGCCGCTTCCATGGAATGTTCCTCCAGAATGCAAGCCAGAAGGATGTTATTGAGCAGCTGTAGACAACTGAGACCATCCAGGACATCCTGTCCAATTTCAAGCTTCATGCATTCCTAGATAACAAATATGTGGTCTGTCTCCAGGAAGACAGCTACAAGTACCTGATTCACTAAGTCCAAAGTGACAGCAACGTTGCCCTGTGCATGTCCACCTGAATGTGCAGCCTTCAAGAGAATAGACTACTAGCTCTATGCCAGTGGTGGCTCCTCCTGCAGTGAGAGCAGCGGCCTGGAGCCCCAGATGTGCCCAGCCCCATTCTGCAGAACCAGGCTGCAGTGGAGGTCTTACAAGAGAGCATCAAATACCACCCCCCGCCCCGCCCCAATCTGGTTCTATGCCTTCTATAACATGGAGCAGCTGTTGAATACTGCAGAAATTGCCCCCAGTAGCAAGCTACTTGCTGCTGGGTTTGACAACTCCTGCATAAAACTCTCGAGTCTGTGAAAGTCAAATCAGAGCCCCACCTTGTTGAACATCACATATCCACTTGCCTTGTGATACTCTGGAGGAAGAGGAGGATGAGAAGGACAGCACAGGCAATGAGATGAAGATCCTGTGGGGACCCTGTGGACCAGTGTACAGCACACATTTCCTCGAGGACATCTTAGGGTTGCTCTCTTGTTCTGAGGACATGTCCATCTGGTACTGGGATCTGGGGAGTTTCATCAACACTGTGCTGTACCAAGGACATGCTTACCTTGTGTGGGACCTGGACTTCAGCCTGTAGTTTGCCAGTGGGTCCCACAACTGCACTGCCAGGCTGTGGTCCTTTGATTGTACATACCCACTGAGAATATATGCAGGACACCTGGCAGATATGGACTGTGTCAGATTCCACCCTAACTCTTAACTACTTAGCTATGGGCTTGACCGACAAGACTGTCTGGCTGTGGAGTGCCCAGCAGAGGAATTCAGTGAGGCTCTTCACAGGCCCCCATGGCCCTGTGCTCTCTCTGGCTTTCTTTCCCAATGGGAAGTACTTGGCATCTGCTGGCAAGGACCAGCGGTTAAAACTGTGGGACCTGGCCCCCCGGGACCCTTTTTAAAGAACTGAGAGGCCACACAGACAGTATCACCAGCCTTGCCTTCAGCCCTGACAGTGGCCTACTGGCCTCTGCCTCCATGGACAACTCAGTGTGTGTCTGGGACCTCCAGAAAACATGCTGTAGCATGCCCGAGGATGGCTCCTTTAGTGAGCTCATGGGTATCTACACTGGACAGATGAGCAGTATCCTGAACGTGCAGTTCATGGCCTGCAACCTGCTTCTTATGACTGGGATCACACAGGTGAATCAGGAACATTGATTCTTACCTTGGCTGGAATGGACTGGGCTGTGGTAGGAGGCATCTGGCCGCAGCATGGACATGGTGAGCAAATTAATGACAGACTGAAAGAACCCTCCTCTGATGCAGCCTCATTGTCATGGACTCAGTCAGGGCTGGGGCATGGCTCAGTGATGCCTGGACTCAAGATGAGCACTAGGGTGCTCTGAGGTCAGTGGCATGTTCCCAGAGGACCCTTGGGACCCTATGTGCAAGCACATTCCCATTTGTATCTTATCCTCCTCCCTGCATGCTTATAGAGGGCAGTTGCCAAGTGCCTTCCACAGCACCCCTAGACACCCTCAGTTGGGCCATCCTTGAGGGAAATGGGGACAGAACTGGGAAAGAGAGGGATAATCCTTTTCCTGAATGGTAGAACCAGGATTTTAAAAATTATTGTTATTATGATGATGATGATTATTATTTTTAAAAATATTTTATTCTTTTATTGGTATACAGTACATTTACATTTTAGGTATACAATACATTTACATTTATCATTGGGTGCTTGTACCTGTACATGATGTATCTTGGTTCTTATTTTTTTCCCCATTACCTGTGCACCCTTTACCCCCTCCACCCTTCCCTAGTTACATACATTTCATTTCCATTTTTTTCATCTCATAATTTTTCCTTTCCCTTCTTTCCTTTCCCCTTCCCCTCCCACCAACCCTACACCTTTGAACCTTTTCCTATTTCAAATTATATGATGATTATTGTTATTGCAAAGAGGAAACCTAGCATTGGCAGAAGGGAACATCTCTGCTTTTATCTTCAGGTTTGACTCCTAGCATTGGCTGTGATACTTGGAATTTTGAGCTTCAGAGAATTCAGAGATTTTAGTGGCACAGTGTATCAGGAGAAAGGGAAATCTTGGGTGCATGTTGAGCACACCAAACAGCATGTTTATGGAAGCCGGTGGGTGGGTTGACCGAGAACACTGGGCTCCTGCAGTTATGGTGGGATTCTTTCTTGGCTGCACTTCTATCAATAATTCTCTCTCCTGAAAAGGAAAATTATGGTAGGAGGGGGATGCAGCTTAGTGGTAGCGCATTTGCCTAGCGTGTGGGAGGCCCTGGGTTCAATCCCCAGTACCACCAAAAAAAAAGATTATGGTAAAGAATAATTTGGAGGGCTGGGAATGTAGCTCAGCGGCACAGCATCTGCCTGACAAGCGCAAGTCTCTGAGTTCGATTCCCAGTACCAAAAAAAAAAAAAAAGAATAATTTGGAGTAAGTCACAAGATAGAATTAGTGTTAGATTTCGGAGTGACCATTAATCAGAGGTTAGCATTTCTACTCTCTCTTTTGCGGTGAGCACATCATGAAGTGAATCCTGAATGCAAATGCTCATGTCAAACTGTGCCCTGAGGATAAAGCAAGTTCTAATGTATGGGGAAAGGATTAAATATTTCTGTTTTCCAAAAAATAAAAAAAAGTAAAAAAAAATTTATTCATCTTTTTATTCATTGGAGAAATGCTTTTCCAACTCAACTTCTCTCTGCCCATTTCTGCTTTTTTTCTCTTCCATGTTTTTCCAAGATTACTCCTTAATACACTCTTTTAAATACTAATCTCTACCCCAGAATCTGCTTCTGAGAGAATCAAATTTCTGCTGCATTTTTGCTAATTTGCACCTGTAAATACAAAGCAAAAAATGAATTAAGCTTTAAGACACATTTTTATATGTCAGAGCATAGGAATATTATCACTATTTGGATAGTGTCACTTTTTGGAAAGAAATGTAGAAATTAGTTGACCTGTGTGTTTTATGCTGTTCTTTCTTTTCTGAATAAAAAACAGGTATCTTCAAATAGGAAAAAAACTGCAGGCTTATTCCTGGCCCAGCACATGCAGTATATTTTTGGTTTATGCAGAAGAGGCTAGTGCTAATCTGTGCTGTTCTTCTTTTCAATAGAACCACAAAATAAGAGAACTCCAGACTTGCCTGAAGAAGAATGTGGGAAGGAAGAGAGTGGGGAAAATGAAACAGTCAAAAAAATACTTGTAGAAAGCACCCGGGACTTTGAGGAAGTTGTGGTATGTTAACTAGATTTACTCCTATTTTTTTTTCCCTGCTTCCATTCTCCTTTGAAACTGGTTATCCTGTCCATCTTTTTCACCCACTCAAGACCCAGGAAGGTAAGAGAGAAGTTCAAGATGGAGAAAAAGAGGCTAGAACTAGAGGACAAGGAAAATAGAACTAATTGGGGCTTTAGGCATGGTGCCCTGAAGCTTTTAGTTTTGGTAGGATAACCTGAAGAGAAGAGGAAGAAAAATCAGACAGAACAGAGACAGTTATTTTTAAGCAGTGTAAAATGTCCCTCTTTGAGCAAATTGATCTCAGTATAGGTTTTTCAAAGGTAGAACTGTGGATTTATCTTTCAAAAACATTTTTATCTTTCTCAGAAGCCTAAATGTAATTTTAAGCCTTTTTTTTTTTTTCCAGTACCAGGAATCGAACTTGGGCTCTTGTACTTGTGCAGTTAGTGGTGAAACCACTGAGCTAAATCCCTGGCCTTTTTTTTTTGGTACCGGAGATTGAACTTGGGACCTTACACTTGCAAGGCAGGCGCCAGAACCACTGAGCTAAATCCCCCGCCCAGCCTAAATGTAATTTAAAAAATTTTATAGTAATTTTTTTTATAGCAAATTTAGTTTTTTGTATACTTAGAGCTTTTGGGAATATTTTACCCCTTACTTCTTCAGTTCCCTTATGGAGTGTTACAATCTTGGAATGAAGTCAAACATTTAACAGATGATCTAATAAACACACATGTATATGTGTGTGTGTATTACATATGTACATGTATGTATGTTTTTCATATTCATTTTAGCTTCTAATCTCTTGAAATACTGTAGTCAATTTAAAATATATATACGGCCGGAGATTGAGCTCAGTGGTTTCGCTGCCTGCTGCGCAAGCGCAAGGACCTGAGTTCAATCCCCAGTACCAAAAAAAAAACCACAAAAAAACAAAATATATATGCATGCACACACACATACATGCACACATATCCCCCCCACCTTCCTATATACACACACATATCTGTATACTCACACATCTGAAATGAATAAAAGTAAGAAGTAATATAGCGTGTTAGAGAAACTGAAAGGAGTCCAGTGTGATTGAAATGCAAAGAGCAAGGGGATGGCAGTTGGGAGAGACCAGGTATTATAAGAGTTCAAGATTTGATAATTGGAAACTGGTCTTCCTCATAATTTTCTGCAGGTGAATGAGAGCTCTGATTTTGAAATACACATAACTATGTGTGATGATGATCCTCCCACACCAGAAGACTCAGAAACACAGCCTGATGAGGAGGAAGAAGAAAAACTTTCGTCACCAGAGGTGGGAGCTGCCATTAAGATTATCCGGCAATTAATGGAAAAGTTTAACTTGGATCTATCAACAGTTACACAGGCCTTCCTAAAAAATAGTGGTGAGTTGGAGGCTACTTCCTCCTTTTTAGAGTGTGGTCGGAGAGCAGATGGATACCCCATTTGGTCCCGGCAAGATGACTTAGATTTGCAAAAAGATGATGAAGCTACCAGAGATGCATTAGTCAAAAAATTTGGTGCTCAGAATGTAGCTCGGAGGATTGAATTCCGAAAGAAATAATTAACAAGATAATGAGAAAAGAAAAAATCCTGGCAGATAAACAGTTGTGACCACTGAACTTTAGAAAGCTCTTACATTGAAATTGACACTTATCTTCTGACCAATGCGCTATCATTCTGTGAGTCTCAGATTTTGTAGCCAAACAGAGTTATGTAGGAGGATAAAAGTCAAAGAAGTTGGATATATTTAGAGTTGTCCTTGACAAGTATCATTGTGTTTCTGGGTTTTTTTTCCCCTTTGGTACTGGGGATTAAACTCAGGACCTTGTGCTTTCGAGTCAGGCGGTGGCACCACTGAGCTAAATCCCCGGGCAATCATTGTGTTTATGAAAGAAAAATCTGGTGAACCAGAGAAGTTGATCTACTAGATAGTAATCCTTTGCTGGAATGGAAGCCCTGCTGTATTAGAGGCAGGAGCTTAATGACAGAGTAAAAGGAGGAAAATTAGGAGGTATAGATCTTTTCACACAGCACGAGTAAAGAACCTCTTATCCTTTGCCAGAAGTTTGTCTAGCTTCTGGTAGATTTAAAACCAAGAATCTAGAAATATGGAAATTTGCAATTATAAGGCCTTGAACATGACCTGTCGCAAACCATCCCATTTCCCAGTGAGCTCTGGATTTCTATAGTGCTTTGAAAATCTCATATTTGCTTTGCTAACTTAGTATTTGGGGACCCTGTTCTTTAGCTATTGTTTTCTTGGAGACTTTCTCAGTCAAGTCTCTAGTATGTGTTTCTTTTTCTTTTTTTTTTTTTT